TTGATGAGCATGTGGTGTCTCACAAAGGGGGTCGTGGTCTTCTTGCTTCGCGGCCATGGACTTCTTACTCATGTTCATGGCCTTCTTGTCTCGCGGCCATGGACTTCTTACTCATGTCCATGGCCTTCTTGTCTTACGGCCATGGACTTCTTACTCGCGGCCATGGACTTCTTACTCATGTCCATGGCCTTCTTGTCTTACGGCCATGGACTTCTTACTCGCGGCCATGGACTTCTTACTCATGTCCATGGCCTTCTTGTCTTACGGCTATGGACTTCTTACTCATGTCCATGGCCTTCTTGCCTCGCGGCCATGGACTTCTTACTCATGTTCATGGCCTTCTTGTCTCGCGGCCATGGACTTCTTACTCATGTCCATGGCCTTCTCGTGACACAACATGGCCCTCTCATACTTACTATCTTTTCTTGCGTCCATGCCCCTTCTCGTGAAGTGGCACGTGCTTCTCCTTGAAGTGGCATGTACCTCTTCCAGACTTAGTTTATTTTTTCACTCCTTCGGTCTTATTGGTGAGGCGGCATGGCCTCTCTTTAGACTTAGTGGCTTGGGCCTAAAATCAATATCCATAAGGCCCAACTGAAACAACATTAATTGTTATAATGGGTGTGGCCTTATAAACTCATTAATTATCTTGTAACTCACCAATGTGGTACAAGACAAATTTTATGGTGTAAACACGTGTCTTGCGTTAATATATATTAATATTATACTAAATTGAATAATCTACCTGGCTAGATAAGTGTGTTAATAAGCTGATTGCTGTCTTAATGTTAGTGGTTATCCGAACGTTGACATATACATTATAATACATAGTTGCTTCGAAACAATCTTCTTTTCTTCTTCTTCTTTTTAGTTTTGTTTTTTTGTTTTACTTTCAAAATTCTAGCGTTTGTTCCATCAAAACATAAAAATAAATATGAGTTTGCAATAAATAGGATTATTCATAGTCAATAATAAAGAGTAGTTAAAAAGAGTAGTTAAATCTAAGAAATATATTATTGCATAATTATTTAATTATTATACATGATATTTAGAGGTGTGTTACACGGATTAATTAGAAACAAAGTCGATTTTACCTCATCCTAGCTACCTTACCCTATTAGAATTTCTTTCAAAAGGTAGTTTGAATCACTGATGGATTATCCTCTGATCTTACCACCCTCTTCCTATTTGTGAATCTCTCGTTCATTTAAAAGTAAAATAAAGAGCAAAATGGTAAAAAATTAGTTTACCAAGACGAGTAAGAGTTTTTTTGTTTTATCTCGGTGACAAATAACCATTTAGCTAGGCGAGCAATCTCTAAATTTGGAATCGCACCAAATCAGTATAGATATAATGAAAAATAATGAACAAAGCTAGATTTGGTGGAGAGAGAGAGAGAGAGTCTAGAGAGAGAGAGAAAGAAAAGAGTGTAACAGACTTTCCCGCTCGATTGGCCTTCTGCCGTCGCGGGCTTCCCGCTTCCCCTAGCGGTTTGTTCTCGTCGTCTGGCCTCCTGCCGGCGGCGAATTCTTCCGGCGACGCTCATCGTCGTCGGTGCTCTCCTCTCTACCTTGTGATTTTGGTTGTCTCGGAGTTACCATGGACGGATCAGGAAAATCGTGGGCGGACCTCTTCACCATTGATGAGAGTTGTCGGCTTCACTACGAAGAGCCAGATCTGGTTGATGGAGCTCTGCGATTACCAAAGGACTTGCTGGACAAAGGTGCTGCTCGTTGGCAAAATTGCCTGGTAGGTCAATTCATCTCTGCTCCGCCATCTCTAGGTGTTATTAGGAATTGGGCGAATAAACTGTGGGGGAGAGATGGGAAAATTAGGGTTTCCTGGTTTGGTGAAAAGCTTCTGGTGTTCCAATTTCCAACTGCTTCAACTTGTGCTTGGGTGTTTCGGGGAGGTCCATGGCACCTATGGGGAAATAATCTGTTCCTAAGGAAATGGGAGAAAGGGATTCTGCCTGTAGCTCCCGAGAAGCCTGGCCTTCCGGTGTGGGTAAAAATCACAGGGTTGCCAATGGAATGTCTGTTGCCTGAGTGCTTGAGCAAGGTGGTTAGCATGATTGGAAAGCCATTCTGTTCTCAGGTTACAAGAGTTTCTGACCAGTTGGGGTTTGCGAAGTGCTGTGTGGAGATTACTGTGGAGTCAGAGTGCCCCAAGGAGTTGCGGTTTGTCCCAGATGATGGAGCTCCCTTTTCAGCTACTGTGGAATACTTTAATTTGCCTTCTGTCTGTCAGAAATGTCGCAGGTTTGGGCATGATTGTAGCAAGGTGGATACTGAAGTTCGTCGGGTATGGGTGCCTAAGATGAAGCAAGTTAAATCTACAGTTACTGAGAAAGAAATTGAGGTGCTCTTGGAGAGTGAGGATCATGGTGATATTCATCAGGATACTGGAAGTGAAAAGTTGCGACCTGTAGAAGAGTTGAATGCTAAGGAATTGGCAGTAGTAGGTACTGAGAGAAGTGTGCCAGAATCTTCTTCAGTGCAGGAATTTGATGGAATTGCAGATAGAATGCAGGAGGCAGATAGTTTGCCCTCTGAGGAGGAATTCCAGGAGGTGATTCAGGATAGGAAAAGTGTTAGTCCTTCAACGGCTGCCAAGCTATCTACAGGTAAGGCAGTAGTGGTTTCATTTTCAGGAGATGCTGGACAGTTAGAGTTCTCTGGGGGAGGCACTTCAACTCTGGTTAACTTTGACTATATTACTAGTGGAAGATGTAGAAAGGCAGGGTGTGGGGGCAGGGCGTCTAAACACAAATGATAGTCTCCTCTTGGAATATGAGAGGTTTTAATAGAGCCTCTAAACATAGGTTTATCAGTAAGCACTTGAAGTCTCTAAATGTGGATATTTTGGCAGTGTTGGAAACTAGAGTGCAACAGAGTAAAATGGGAAAAATATGTGCTGATTACTTTTCTGATTGGGGGTGTTTGGAGAATTATGCTAAGTCGTCTAATGGGAGGATATGGATTTTCTTTAGAAAAGATTTGCAGGTCACAGCAGAGTTGACAGAGGAGAATTTTATTCATTTGAAAGTAAGGGGTAGTGAGGCCTGTCAGATTACTGTTGTGTATGGATCCAATGCTGAAACAGAAAGACGTCAGACTTATAAACAAATGAAGACTATAAATACTAGTACTGAGCCATGGTTAATCCTAGGGGATTTCAATGCCATACTTAAAGCATCTGAAGCTTCCAATGGAACCCCTCCAGGTTCAAGTGGGCAGGATTTGCAGGATTGGTTAGATGAAATGCATCTGGAAGAACATAAAGTAGTTGGGGAAAGCTATACTTGGGTTAATAAGCAATCAAGGAACCCTATTGCTCGTAAACTGGATAGGATTTTTATGAATAGTAGCTGGTTGACTAAATTTCCATCCAGTTATGCAAATACTATAACCCCAGGTGTCCACTCGGATCACTGTGGGTTGCTTTTGAACTCTTCCCCTAACCAGAAGACCTTACCTAAGCCTTTTAGGTTCTTTAACTTCTGGAGTGATCATCCAAAGTTCCAGGACCTATTGCAAGAAGTCTGGAATACACGAGTCACAGGGTACCCGTTTTTCAGAGTGTGCCATAAGCTGAGATTACTGAAGAAAAAGCTCAAGGAGTTCAATAAAGAGTTCTATTCAGATATCTCCTTAAGAACTAGACAGGCAGAAGATGTTTTGAAGAATATTCAGCAGCAGGTGTTTAGAGATCCTTCTCCACAGTTGTTTGAAGAAGAAGCTAAAGCAGTAGCAGAATGTGTCATGTTTCAAAAAGCAGAAGAGGGGTTTTATAAACAGAAGGCTAGGATACAGGCTGTAACTGAAGGGGATCAAAACACAGCATATTTCCATCAGTCATTAAGGGTAAGACAACACAGGAATACTATTTCATTACTTAAGAAAGAGGATGGCAACATGGTTACTGATGTGGAGGAAATTGGGAGTGTAGCAGTGGAATTCTATAAGAAATTGCTAGGGGAAAAAAATCAGGAAGTGCAGAGTTGTTCAGTTGAAGAGATGGAGAAAATACTTGTCCATAAAGTGGAATCTGTGGATGTTGAGCATCTATGTAGCAGTGTATCTAAAGAGGAAATTAAATCTGCTCTATTTGAAATGGGGAAGAATAAATCTCCAGGACCAGATGGGTACACAGTGGAGTTCTATAAAGCTGCCTGGCCAGTAGTAGGAGAGGACATCACAAGTGCAATTAGCTCTTTTTTTGTCACAGGGTTTCTCCCAAAGGAAATCAATTCCACAGTTCTAGCCCTCCTTCCCAAAGTTGCTGGTGCAGATCAGATGAAGCAATTTCGTCCAATCTCTTGCTGTAATGTACTTTATAAGTGCATTGCCAAGATATTGGCAAACAGATTATCAACAGTCCTACCCCAGTTGATAAGTAAAAGCCAGTCAGCTTTTGTTAAAGGGAGGAGCATTAGTGATAATATACTGATGGCTTCTGAGTTAGTAGCTGGCTATAATAGAAAGAATATTTCTCCTAGATGCACAATGAAGATTGACCTAATGAAAGCTTTTGATTCTATAGACTGGGATTTTTTGTTTACAGTTATGACTGCAATGGGGTTCCCTACTCAGTTTATCTCTTGGATCAAGGTATGTGTCTCTTCCCCGATGCTTAGTGTAGGGATAAATGGGGGGGTATGTGGCTACTTCCCATCTAAGAAAGGCCTGCGCCAAGGGGACCCTTTGTCCCCTTTCCTTTTCTCCATTGCCATGGAAGTATTGTCTTGTGTACTGAACAAAGGAGCTGCCTCTGGTGAATTCCCCTACCACCCTAGATGCAAAAGGTTAGGAATTACCCACCTAGTATTTGCAGATGACTTACTACTATTTTCTGATGGCTCTACAAAAGCTGTGGAGAGTGTCAAAGGATTGCTGGACAAGTTCTATAGACTATCAGGATTGAGATTTAATCCAGAGAAAAGTCAATTGTTCTGTGCAGGGATTGAGGAGACTGATCATGAAAGACTTGCTCAGCTGGCTGGATTTCAAAAAGCAAGGCTGCCTGTTCGCTATTTGGGGGTCCCTCTAATTGCAGGGAAGTTATCTGCTAGTGATTGTCGAGTTTTGGTTGAGAAAATCACTAAGAGAATATCTGGTTGGAGGCCTAAGCTGCTTAGCTATGCAGGTAAGCTTCAGTTAATCAATTCAGTGCTAAGTAGTCTATCCTTCTATTGGATGAATGTTTTTATCATTCCCCTGTCTATCATAAAAGAGATTGAGCAGAGTTGTAGTAAATTCCTATGGGGGATAACTGAAGAATCCTTGAGAAAGAAGGCTGTAATGGCTTGGGGGTCAATGGCAATACCTAAGCAAGAAGGGGGGCTAGGCATTAGGTGTCTAAAGACATGGAATGTGGCCTGTACTACTAGGCATATATGGGCTCTGCTAACCAAAGAAGGGTCCTGGTGGGTTGCCTGGAATTATCACTATAGAATAAAGAATCTAACTTTCTGGGGATTGGGCAAATGCAGTACTGCCTCTTGGGTCTGGAAGAGACTGTTAAAGGTCAGGGACAAGGTGGAAGGGTTCTTTAGATGCTGGGGAACACATGTGTATTGGAATGATAAAAGGATGTTGTCTTACTCTGTGAAGCAGGTTTGGCAGGATTTGCAACCAGCTAGGCCTAAAGTGGATTGGTATCAACTGATTTGGGGGAAATATTCAATCCCAAAACATAGTTTCTTGAGCTGGGTAATAACACGAAGCAGGATTACTACACTTGGTCAGTTGCATAGCTGGGGGAAGGTGGCAAATGCAGATTGCTTGTTTTGTTTGGCTCATGTAGAAGACATGGACCACTTATTTTTCAACTGCCCCTATACATTCCAGGTGTTGAAGGGTTGTTTACAAATGCTGCACTTAACTTGCCCTTAGTTAAGTTGTTATGAAGATTATTTGCAGTGGGCGGTTCGAGCCTTCAAAGGTAAGAAAGCTACAGCCATGATAGGGCGATTGGTATGGAACTCAGCTGTGAGTTTGATTTGGAGGGAACGCTGTGGAAGATTGTATGGTGGGAATGCTGTACAGTCTGGGGAGCTAATTAGGATAGTTCGTAGGACAATTGAGTTAGCTAGACTTGGCAATGTAGCTCTGAATGTAGATTGTAGTGCAATTTTTAGTTAGCAAAACAGAGAGTAGTATAGTTTTTGGTTTATTGTATGGCTGTGTAGTAATGAGTAGAAAATAGCAGCAGTAAAAGTTAGCTGCTGGTTGTAATGGTCCAGATGTGCTTTCCCTTTGTTGTAAAGGGGCACATAGAGCTTAATAAAAAATTTTGATATTGCCCATAAAAAAAAATGAACAAAGCTGCATTAGATTTGATTTGGTTCTTTCTCAACTTGATTTGGTTTGTCTTCTTTAGTTTAAAAAAGACCGAGCTAGTTGAATCAAAGCAAAAAAGGGATACGAATACTTTCTGTGATAAAATAATTTTGCTTTTCTATCAAGTTGATCGTTGGTCACATACGTTGATACGTACTAGAAACTTGCGAATCAATATATACCAGTAATCGCCGAGTCATCTTAATTATTATAAGTAATAGAAAGTAACGGAACAATCTGTATAAGAAGTTGTCAAATGTCAACTGCATATCACAAACGCGTCAGGATGTATCATCCATTAATATTGGCGGCGGCTACTAGATTGTTTGTAGTTCCCGGCGGCCGGATTCCGGAGGTGGCAGCAGCTGGTTTGTGGCGATAAAAGGTGGATTTTGACGGTGGCAGTCCTATTCCAGCGCGCGATTAAGCGGCAGATACGCGCAAACATCATCATTGTTTTTATAAAATAAGATAGCAAACGTAGTTAGGAGGTCTAGCTAAATTGAGGATTGGGAAATACCATTAACAGCCGGTAGTACGTAAGTAGTCCATTTGTATTGCTCAGGCATCGTATTAATCTTGATTAAGAAATAATTGTATATGTTAAACTTGATAATTATATTCCATATATAATTATTTTTACAAAACAAAAAAGAAGGCACCAAATACGTACAGTACAATCATCATTCATCAACTTGATCACCGGGTCACGTGTTTCCTTGTATTAGTTTATTATCATTTATGTGTTGTCATGTTGTCTCCTGGCCATACAACAAAAGCTTAGCCATTGTTTTTAAGCAATGCTATATCTATATTCTATATTCTATATTCTATACACGCTTCACATTTGTAAGAAGCTGGACTTTTTTATTGGTACACACAAATTCATTTCAAAATCTCTAATGTGTTAATCAACCGTTTTAGAAAAGGATTATCGATGATCAAACAGTTCAACACCCACAAAATAGTACATAACCATCATTCTAGTCATTGATTAATCTCACTTCAAGGAAATGAGACGCGTTGACCCACAAAATCCACTATGATGATGATCGAGGAGAGAACATTATGTTACAGATGCTCCCTATCTGACTTGATTTTCGAAGGGTGAATTAGATCTTCCTCCTACCATGACTTATTGACTTGTTTAGCCACCTCACTGTCGACATACAAAAAGATCTAATCATTCTACCTCACATTATGAATTAATTAATTATTTCTGATCCAAAACCACTCAGCAGACATTATTTTTACATGACGATGAACCAAATAAAAACCATAATATTATTTAATGGAGATATAAAATGTGAATTTAGATTTGTTTCTTAATTAATTTTTTGGTTAATTTATTTTTCACTTTCTTATGCTAATGATACCCAAACAAATCCAAAATTCTAGAAACCAGGGTCTAAATATACATATAGGGTTTGTTTTGTGTTCCTATTTTTCATATAATATTATTTTAATTTATATCTTACATTTATTTTTTGCAATGGAACATTCATTAACACAAATGATATTTGACATACATCAGCATAATAATGGAGTACATTCGGCACACTGTTGATACTTTCTAAATATTTAATAGAGTTTGGTGCTATTTTCTCTTTGCCTATTGACCAATTCAATTTTGTCCCTAGGAAAAGAAGGAACAAACTTTTTAAAAAGGAAATTCCAGTGTGTGTCATTTCTTACGACGTAAAACCTAAAACAAAATCTCAATTCCCTTTCCAGAAGGAACTTAAATTAATTAAATTTAATCGGCACAAAGTTTTCAACAAATGAAGGAAAGAGAAAGAGAACAAACAGCATTTCCTTTTTTTTTTTTTTTTTGTTGTATCAATTCATATTTCATATTTTCCTCTCTTTTTTTCTTTTATGGTGACAAATATTTTTTGCCTACTTTTAGTTATTTTTTAATTATACCCAATAGATGATAAACAAAGTTCTACAAAAATTAGTGGACAACCTAGATACAATCTGGGCTCCCACTCTCTTAGCGACAGCAAAGCTAAGTCTAGTGAAAATGTATGCGACCGTACGAGCCCCGCATACTGAGACACAGAGAATTTTTGGATGCGCTTAAACAAAGCCACATCATCCGCATCCAACTCTCTCAATGAAGAGAGAGAAAAGGACAGGAACCCGTAACTAGACGCCATGTACATCCCGATACTTAGCACACTTTCGCCGAGCGGCATCAGCAACAACTCGGCCCGACACAAAATCGATCATCCCAGTCTGAGTCAAAGGTGAAGACCCAGTCGGATCAATACACACATCTCGCCCGCTATCCCAGGTGTTATAAACGCGCTGCTACGGATCGGGAAATCGCAGGAATCGACAAAGCAAGAATACGAAAGCGAGAATCGAAAACACGACACACGATTTACGTGGTTCACTAACACGATGTGTGTTAGCTACGTCCACGGGCGAGAGAGAGCCAGTTTCACTATATCAAGGAGATTACATATTACAGAGGAGTATGAGAAGTATTTATAGTACTTCTCCATGTGGGTCTAAACCTAATCCAATTTGGCAAAGGAAACGGTTACAGACCAGGCCCAGAGACCCCCGATTACCAGTCATAGCGGCTGATAGTCCGATTCAAGTCACATCAACACCAGGAATAAAGAAGCAAATCCGCAGGACGAAGGGGACCGCCATACCCATCAACCAAATCAATATCAACCTTCTTTCGACAGAAATCCCAAACCTGTAACAGATGTCCAGTAAGGTGTCTCAAACGAGGTTATGCCGATGCTTAATGCCCACAATACCAGCACATGACACAACATGATCCCCAAAGACATCACCATCAAAGACACGCAGTGGCGGATTCAGAAAATTTTCACAGGGGTGTCCTCTTCAAAAATTAAACTTAATTAAATAATAAATTAAATAATTCATATATTAAAAATATCATACTTGTATAATTTTTTTATTAAAATTCATGATGTGTTTTCATATTTTGAAAAAAATAATATAAAATAAATTCGTGTCTGCACTGTTCAAAAAAAATCTACATATCCTACTATACAGTACTTCACGAACTTATCACATATTCGATTTCTATCCTTGTTCTTAATGTAGCTCAAAGTAGAAAAGACTCTTTCAACACTTGCCGTGTAACCATAAAATCAATTCAAAATTAAGGGTAGTGTGTACGTAGTTTAATTATTAGGTATTGAAAATAGTTGGGGATAAAGAAATAGCGTTTTACTAGTTGCATGATGTTTAAAATAGAATAACAAATGAGTAGCAACATAATTAGAATATGTTTGATAATAGTAGTGTCCTAGGTTGGAATAACACGGACTACCACTTATATTTTTGTTAATCATAAGCAAACCATTATCGAGGGTAGGATAATCATTTTTTCAAATGTTAGGGTGTCCCGAATTACCAATTATATTTTGTATACCCATACGAAACTACTACCGGAGGTTAATAATCGTTTTCCCAAATTTTAGGGGTGTCTAGAAGCCCATGTATCCGCCCCTGAAGACACGGGAATAAGCAGAACAGGACCTAGATACCAAAAATAACGAGGGAAAAATCATCCATACTGAAAGTTGTACGAAATTAATTAACGGTAGAATACTTTGCTTTAAATTTATGATTTAATAGTGATTTCAATATTTTTAAACTCACTCAAAATCATCCATCAATTTAAACTTCAATATAAGATTTTTTCCGTCGAACTACTCATACTCTTAAAAACGACTAATACTTATACAAACAAACATCACTGTCTTATTTCTCAGTTATATCGTTTCCCCACAAAAGGAGAAAGTTAAAAAATAATAATAGACAATAATAATATCAGCCTAAACTGATAAAATAAATATTAGGTCGACAAAATATTAAAAAGGAAATGATTAAAAAACAAAGTATTATCCATTGATTTGTACATCACCTTCCCACTTCCTGCCCCCAAAAGCTCCCTATATCTATCCCCCCTCCGTCCCCTCCATTCACCTCCAACACGCTTCACACCTCATTTCCATTACCTTTCCATTTCCCTTCCTTTCCCTCTTTCCCACACGAAACCCTAATCAGAAACTTCTCCCTGAAATCGAAACTTCGCAAAAGCATAATTGATCAAAACCCACAAATCAAACTAACACAATCGAAGACCCAACCCGCTAATTTGACAAAAAAACCACAGAATCTCTCCATCGATATGACGAGTTGCGGATTGACGATGCCAGGAACTGACGCCACTCTCTTCGGCGCCTCACCTTCCTCCACCACCACCAGCAGATTGCCCGACCCGGTTCTCCGGGTCAGGCCTTCTCTGGGCCGCCCGTCAATGGTGTCCTTCAGGACGACGAGGGCCACCATGAGCGGAACCGCCTGCACCGCCGCGGCGGAAATGA